AACCTCATCTCATAAGAAAATGTTGCTAGATTCAAGCTGAGGATTTTGAAAGCAGATATAAATCTAAAGCAAGAATAACTTCTGCTAGAAGTGCAAATATGAGAGTAAGAAAGTTTGGAGTAACTAAAAGAGAATTTTGCCTCTGGTCAAGACTACTGTTTTCTAAGTTTCTGAAAAAAAGCTAAAATTGCCTTTGAATTTCATGCCAGAGTTGAAACAAGTTTTATTATAGGCTACAGAAGATTCACAATCCTATGTTTCCCAATCATAGAAAATTTCATAGCTATCAACTAAATTCTGCCACAGCTATTCCATAAGGATATTAAGCCACTGAACTAGGGACAATAAGTGAAATTTGTATCTGCTTGCACTCCTGAGAGGCAGCCTTAGCATCAAAATTGGCACACTAACCCCAGCTCCTCTCGGGGCTCAGGATATCCCAGTGTCACTGGGAAAACCCCATCCCCAGGAGAGTGATTGGGGTTTCTGGGGGGCTCACCATAGCTGTGGCTGCAGAGAGGAGAAGGTTTCAGCACCTTTTCTTAGGAGAGCATGGCATTATTAGGAGCCTGGACACACTGAAATTACCTTCCTGGGAACTGCTGCTTGCATTGATTCAAGAGAAGCCAGCAGTTGGTGCTGAACCTGCTTGAACCTCAAAACCATGTTCATGTTCCCCAGCTTTTTTTTTTTTTTTTTACCAGTAAAGCATGAAACAGGCTGGGGAGTCAACAAGTTTCTTTTTAGGTCCGGTGGGTGGGGAAAGTAGTGTTTTACTCTCTTCATAATTAAAGCACATCTCATCAGAGCATGTGAGGGCAATTTACCTCCTCAAGGGGAGGGGACTGCTGGCACTGAGCTATACAGATCTACCAAGGGTAAGAGTGATGAGCAATAATTTAGTGCCAGTTACATCACCAGTTCTGCCCAGGATCCCAACACCACCAGTAAAGCCCTTGTTGGTGCAGGATGACTATGGAAACAGAACCTGGAGCTTGAAGGAGAGTTACGTACTTGGGACTCATGAAAGTTTTATTTACTCTGCTTATAGTTACTAAAGGAAGAAATGAGTTGCACTTAATGCAATATTTCTACTAAATGCATTTAAGATAAGAAAAAGCCTTTCAGCTGGAACCAGAGCTGTTTGTTATCACAGACCACCTCCAGCAGGCCTTTCAGGTGAGAGGTCACTAGAGCTGTAGCAGGCTGTGTGCCACTGGAGATGCTGGCAGAAACAGATCTGCCCCACTCCCTCCATGTGTGCAGGGTGTGGGAGGAAGATGAATACATAATCAACTCCCAGCTCATCAAATGGCTTCTTTTTTTTTTTTTTTTTCAGGGAGCCTGTTCACTGAGGGAGGAAATCACAGCAAATAAACTCCTGGGTGCTCACTTGAGTTAAGCTATTACAATGAGAAACTTCAGGTCTAACTTTGGTCAGACTTATGTGGTGACTAAAAATTTCCAAATCGGGATAAATATAAACAGATATATAGATGTCTTGTGGCCTGTAACACTGTGTTGGTTTTGCAATTTCAAGTTGTATTCAAGTAAGAATGTTTGAAGAAGGGCCTGAATCTGATCAAGGTTCATATCCAAAGGTGACCTTAACTTCTGGTCCTTTTGTTCACAGCAGGAGACTCCGGCATTCATGGTCACACAGCCAAGCAAGCCCTGGAGTTACCTCCAGCCTCCTCAGTTTCCACTCCTCTCCTATCCCCCTCTTAACTTCCATACATTTTATTCCATCTTCATTTTTAGCTTTCTAATTCCATGGTGGCCTCTCAAACATACTAAATATAAATGTGTGGACCCAGCTATGTAAATAAAGTGGCCCATGTGGTGAGCACACACGAGGGCAGGGGGCCTTTCCCATCGAAGGGAAGGCTGATTGCCAAGCAAATCCCAAGCTCTGCACTTCTGCACAGGGAAAGGGAGCCTAAGATTTAGGAGGAGTCACAACTTATCTTGAAATAGCTGATATTTTTTTCTGCCTAGGGTTTTTCTGACAGGCACTGGCACATTGAGATCTGCCTCCATTACCAGGAGACAGAGACATGGAGGAGAGAGGGTCAGGGGACAGGGAGATATGTAGGGATGAATTTTATGGATAAGTGGCATGCAAACAGAAGGGATTACCAGTGTTACCCTTGTGTTGCTGATATATGAGCACAACATTATTCACTAGGGTGCACACCTTATGGGTGACAATTTGGTATCATTTGTTTGAATGACTCCTTTGTTTCTTCCTAAAACAGAAACAGCTCAGGCCTGAAAAATAAGTGATGAGGCAGTTCAGGCTGCCAGATAGCTGTGCCTCCATTTCCTATTTCCTGTGCAACATCCTATGGTGGTAGGGGATCTGCCCCTCTGCCAGGCGAGTGGAGGTGTCGGGGTCTGCATGGAGAGCCAGGACTGGGTGTGAGGGCTGTGCGCTCTCCCTGGTGCAGGTGACTTTGCTGTCTGGCCCACTGTGAGTCTCTTCTGACTCTGACAGTCCTCTGTCCCATCCCATGAGGGCAAAAGAGCAGGAAGGGGTGCTCCAGGGCACACAGCTTCCTCAGATTATGAGTTCTCATGGTGGGACAGCAGTGAGAGCACACCCAGGCTCTGGCTCACTGTCACACGGCACTGAGCCTGCTCCTAACCTTCAGCAGGTACAAATGAGCCCATGCCAGGAGCAGGGACTGGATCTCAGTGCAAAGGGAATACTACACAGCCAGAGGGACACAGGATTGCCAGGCATGTCCAAGCCAGGCAAATACAATACATGGCAGAAACTTATTCCCATTACCAGAGACACAGCTGATGTGATGAACAAATTTAAATTTACATCCCAGCTTTCCAGCTAAGGCAAAGACTGTCTCCTCGTCTCCCTTCAAATCACACCAGCCATGGCAGGATTGCAAGGTTTTCAGAGGCAAGCACCCCATGCCAGGTGCCTAGGCTGGAGACCCAGTTGGTCTCTCCAGGGACTTGTCTGACTTTATCCAACCTCCATCTCCAGAGGGTCTGTTTCTTATGCTGCTGCTTCTCCTTGCTCTCAGCCCTTTCCTATTCCCAGCCCCAGCTAGGGGTGATGTGACCAAACTTATGGTTTTAAAGTTCAAAACACTTTCAGACAACATAGTAAAAGAGGTGATGGCTCCTGCTATGCTTGTTTTCTCTGCAGCCTTTTGGAGGCAATGCCAAGTAAAATGAAGCCCCAGAATAAATCCTACTAACAGGAACACTTTTACAAATAACCTCAGCTACACAGCTTCCAAGTCCTTGAGTATTTCTACATCTCTGCAGCCAAAAACATATGTTTTGTATTGCTTCACATAAATCTTTCTGGTTATTTATCTACATAAACCCTTCTATAAATTGCTCACTGGGACTCAAAATGCAGCAAGCAGGCTCTTTGATTTGTCTCAACCCCCAGGTGCATCAATCACTGCTGTGCACACCTTGTTTGCTTCCATGCAGGGAGAAGTTACCAGTCCCTTTTGCCAGAAAAGAGGGCAAAGAGTCAAATAGTTTTGATGGATGGATAAATGTCTGTGGGACAAGCTCATGCACAGAGCTTGTTTATACTGTGCTCTCCCTCCTCCTACTTACTAATAAAACACTGCTCCACCAGCCTTCCTTAGGAAATATACTCTGAATCAAGAGCCTGCACATGAATATTTGATCTCTTTGTGAGCTCCTTTAACATTATTGCATTTCCTCCTGTGGTGGCAATTTCTCTCTCTAAAGGAATAAGTAAAAGTATGGCCTTATTTTGTGGTGTTAAGGTGGTATTTTAGTCTTGTTACAGACCTGCTCCACACAGAGGTGGATCTCACCCTTCATCATTGTAGCACAACTTTTATGTCAGGGAATGAATCATGGGGTTGGGTTAGAGTTTAGCCAAGTTCCTCAACTGAGGGCTAGCATTGTATTTCACAAGGGAAGTGAAGACTTACAGACAGGCAGGCAAGATTCATCATCGTTGAGTAAGCTGTGCTGCTGACAATGCAGTGTGATACTCTCTGGATCGAGGCATCACCCCACCTCAGTTTCCCCATTCAAAATGAAAATTAATAAGTGCAGCAGAAAAACTGAGGATATTTACTTTATGTTGACACAGCACTCCTGTTGGCCTCATTGGGTCTCAGTGAGGAGAGTCAGCCAGCACATACAGAACACTGTAATATGTCACACTACTCCAGGTAAAGAAACCCCTTCTGAACACCCTCTCACATGTGCATGTGTCTCCTGCACTGCTGCTGCACGTTGTTGTCTCCCAGGGTGATGGCAGATAATAGAAATTTTTTTGTAGAGTGGAAGTTGAAGGGATGGAGAAGTCGGAAGAGGGGAGATGAACCTTAGAGCAGCCTGGCTAGTAGTTCAAACACCTACTGTGACAGCCCAAAGCTCATATCCACTGACAGCTACTGAGGAAGGAATTGCCTGGCTTTAGGAGCAAGCTACAGTCTTTATTCAAAGGTCCCAGCAGCAGCTGAGGGGCAAATTCAGACAGAAGAAGTGTGATTGATTTCATCTCTTCTTCAGCTCCATACAAATAGGCTGAGGCTACTCTAGCCTATCTCATGGGTAACTTTTCTGCCTCTGCACTGCTGCTATGTAGTTAGCTTTGGTGCCCCCTGGACTCTGTTTTTTTGTGAACTGTGCTGTGGGGCTTCTTCTACTATGGTCCACTGCTACAAACAACACACTGATATTAGAGAAGGCAGCAATGGCCTTTCAATCTTCAATTACCTCCCTATTTGATTACTCCGGTCCTATGGGACTTCTTGTGGAGTGAGGAATTTTTCAGTGTCAGTGGGAAAAGTGGATGTGTGCTTACTGGAATCATGTGAGGTAAAATCCATGGCTTTCACATCCAGATCCCAAGCCATGCCCATATTGCAGTAAGTGATCCTGAGCACAACCTTTTCCATCTGCTCTGCCTGCCTGTGTGTGCCTTACTGATCACTTCTAGCTGCCTCTTAGACAATGCTAACCAACATACTCACCTGCTAAAGGACTTCCCTCAAACTCAGACTCTGGGAATGATTTAGACCTCAGCCCAGACATGGAAAAAAGGAGATGGGTCTATTTTTAGTGTGATAGTCCATTGAGAGGCACTGATGCCAATTTCAGCATGATGAGCCTCTCCCAAGTTCTGCAGCTGACTGACTCATGGTAGGGGTTCCTGTACATGGGGGGAACACGGTCTTTGTGACACATCATCTTTGAACACGTCTGGAGTTCCCACTGCTATTGCACGGGAGCAGTTCACAGCAAGCAGGTCTGACGGAGCCTGTAAGAAAGAACGAGCACTGAGGGGACATAGTGGGACTTGTGCAGGGTGGAGCCATGCCTTAAGATCACATAAGTAACTCCCTTCACATTTCCCTTCCCTCTTTACATGCAAGTTGAGATCTCCATTCATCCACTGAGAGCCAAAATCAGTCTCACAAAGACCAGAGATTCCTAAGGAAGAGGGACAAAGCCCTCAAGTCCCCACTGCCAAGGCCAGCACTGAGCTGTGCTCCCTTTGCCCATGGCATATCACAGCAACCCCAACAGGCTGAGGGTCCCCCCTCATCCACTCCTTGTCAGAGGAGCTGCCAACCAGCTCCGTGGCTGTGTTGCCTCACAGTGGAGTGGAGACAGTCCCACTGGAGAGGGCTTGTGCTTGCAACACAGAGCAGCCCCCTGTTCACCAGGCACAACCCTGAGGAGCTCCCTGGCAGCTCCCTGGACAGAAAGCTCATACATCGCCCTGGCTGGCATCTCCTGCCCCTTGTTAATTTGGGGGAGCACTCCTATCCCTGTCAGGCCTCTGCTGCCTTCATTTCTGCAGCTCCCAGTCCCACTCCTGCTTCATTCCTCCTAGCCAGTCACACTGCTGGCAGCAAAGAAACTTCACAGGCAGCTGAGAAGTGCTGAAATGGAAGGTATTTCTCGCCTTGGGGCTTAGATTTGGAATTCTCGCCTTGACCTTAATTTCAGCTCCTGAAGTCCTCTCTCCCTAGTTCCCTGTGACATTTCTTGTTTAGCTTTATTGTAATCCCCCAAAGATCATGCATTTCAATCATACAATTAGAAATAATACTATTAATAGTAGGAAACACAGACTTAACTTGGGAGCTTTCTTTCCTCTGGATTTTGAGTCTGTTTCTGCAGTTTTTCTCTGCAGTTTGCTAAGCTAGAAATGTGTTTTCATGGAGAGTTTTGCATAATCATGTGGTTCTGGGAGCTGGACACCAATCTCTGGGAGCCCTGCTGTGGAACTGGAGATCAAATGCATAATAAATAAATGTAATTTTGCTAGTTCTTGTTATTACAGCTTAGTTTAAGAAAAACACATATGTTTTCAACACATATATACATACACTTGCCTATGTATGTATACATACTGATCACACATCTCTCTGCCAAATACTGTAAAATGACACGAGCACGCACTGCTCAGCCCACCCCCTTGGAGAGCAGAGCAGCACTGGCACGGGGATTGATCCCAGCTGTACAGAGCTGTGCCCCACTCCTGGGGAATGGCCAGCCAGGAGCCCCTCACACATGCTGCCACAGGGAACTGGTATTAGTCACGTTTTGGAAAGCCTCTAAAGCTGGTGTCAAACAGGTGACCAAGTAAGAAAAGAGAAGTTCATGCTGACATGCTGGGAGGTCACTTTCCTGAGCCAGGGGCTGGGGTGAGGAGGCTTGCAGGTTTCACAGGGAAAGCAGAAATCACCAGCAAGTCAGAGTGACAGGTGCTGTGAGATCCCCACAAGTGCAGCAGATGGGTTTCTACATCCATTTGCTGCTTAAGATTGCCTTTGCCACAGAGGTATCAACCTCAGCCTCCTACCCCCGTATCATCCCCACATCATCCCAACACCACCGCGTGTCCTGAGTTTCATTGGCACTGGATGCCTGGATGAAAACTCAGCCCCCAGCCAACGCCAGACCTGGCCCCGGGATAAATGCAGTGTCTCCCCAATTGTGCCGGCAGGGAGAGGGTCCCCAGGAGGGGCTGTGAGAACAGAGGCTCCTCACCAGCCCCCCCAGCCAAACCTCTCTGCTGGGCCAGCCTGCAGCACTACCAAAGCCTTCTGGGGCTGGCTGGGACAATCGGGGCAGCGGAGTGCTGAGCCTCGGCGTTTCTGCTGCGCTGGGAAATTCCCGGAGGAGCAGACGAGTGTTCGGCAGCGTGCTGATTCCTTTGATCGCGGAGTATAAAGGAAAACAGCTTGCGTTCGCTGCAGCTCCGGGCTCTCCCCAGTCGCCTTCAGATCCATATTGTGGCTATGATGCTTTTCTTGTTCAAACAGGAAAACCTAATGATGCCCTTTCATCCCCAGCTCGCAGGGGGCTGGCTGCAGCCTGCCCTGCACAGGGAGCCGCCGCTCTGTGCGCGGTGGGGTCCTGCTGTCCCCTGCCGGGCATCCCCAGCGCGGCTGCGGAGGGCATCGTTTCTGCTATAGCGAGAGAAGGGGCAGCACATTTGAGAATTTCTCTTTAGCTGTGCCGGCCATGTGACTTCAGGCAGCCTCTGCCGTGTTTTTCGCTGGCTCAGGAGAGGAGGGAGGTCTGCCAAGCTCACCTCAGGATGCTGTCAGTACATTCAGACTGGTTTGGAAAGCAGTGAACCTCTGGGGATACAAGGCAGAGTGAAACTCTTGCTGACTGCAAGGAGATATTTGTACCCAGTGAACCCACAGCTGCAGTTCATTGGTCCATCTGCCATCATCCTGCTCTCATGACAGTCCATTTGCTCTCCATGGCAGGTGACCTGGTGGAAGGCGGGCACAGGGAGGTGGCACCTGGCACCACTGCAAAGGCTCTGGGCAGCTGCTTGCTGGCTCCCTGACCTCTGGTGGGCCAGGGAGAGCACTGCTGTCAGTCTATCTTAGCTGGACACTCTGGTGGGATCACCTCAGCTGCTGCTGCTCAGAGAGGGGACCAAGGCTGCTGAGCAAGGCTACCTGACACAGTGGTTATAGCTGAGGGCTGAGGAGAGAAGAAATATCAGAAGATGAAATGTCAGAAACCAGTTTCCAGAACATTGTCTAAGGCAGTTTGGGAACTGTTTTTATACTTTGGGCAAGCTAAGTTAAGCATGTTCCTGTAGGTTTCTTCCAAAGTATGGTTTGTGGTACCCTATGCCCCAGGACAGGATCTCCACTATCTGCATCACTCTTGCAGCATCACCATTTTGCAGAGACAAACACGAGGTGGTGTGCTACATCCTTACTGGGGCAGCCATTCCAGATGCTACCTTGGTCACAGAAGAGTGGCCATGGTGATCATGCCACACAAAACTAACTTGAGCAAAGTGTGAGTAGGGAGAAATGAAGACAGAGACTAACACGACCATGAAGCCATAACCCTGAGATAAAATCCTCTCAAATCAGCCCATACATCATGGGAAGCAGACTGTAAATGTGAATCCTGGCTGGCAGCCAAAGTGCAAATGGTAAGCCCCTGTGCAAGAGTAGTGGTTTAATGTGCTGTGGGGAACACTGTTACGTGTCCCAGAACAGCGTGTGCTGGTGCATAGGTTTTGCAATGTTGGTTACAGGCTATTAAACCCTCTAAGTTCAGAAGTTGTCAGTCCTCTTCTGACTGCATAAACTCATTCCTAAAAACTTCACTAAAACACACTTTAATTAAGATTTTCATCTCCCCACTTGAACAGAGGCAGAAGGAGAAGGGACCCTTCTACCAAGAAAAATCAAGTTCATATGACGTTGCTTTTTTGCACTAGCCAAAAAAATCTTAAATGGAGGGAAGGAGCTGCTACATGGGTGTTGATACAAATGAAATCTGAGGATACCAGCTCACTCCATGCTACCCTGATGGGCACTGGAGTGCAAGAAACACCTAGTACACCCAGGAAGAGTGAGTGAAGGCCTTATGTTGCCCCAGACTAATGGTCTCCTCACATGGGGGACAAGGACCCTCAGGAAGGCTAATACAGGCCCACTCAGAGGATGGAGGCTGGGCTGTAGCCAAAGAGCCACAGGAACATGGGGACAAGATGGAAATTTTAAATTGTTAATATATTAACCTGCCTTTTCTAAATAGATTCTGTTCCTTCATGACCACCACCACTGGCACCCATACATTTACATTTATTTAAAACCCTGGGGCATGTTGCTTTCCAGAAAGGAAACATTGCTGTCAAGGACACTTAGACAAAGTCATGTACTTTCTGGTTGAGAGCTCAGTGAAGTTTAGTAAGAATGGCAGAGTAAGAGCCCAGCATGCTGCACTGCCCATGTTGGTTAAGGGCACTCCCACTTGAGGAGGAGGCAGCAGCTTGCTGCCTTGAGCAGTGCTGGGCATTGCTGAAGCTTGGGTGGTCATAGCTCAGGGCTACACTGTTTTCTGCATCTCTTCAAGCCTAAGCTCATGGCTCTAAGTGATTCTGAAAGATTCTTATGTCTTCCTTTCCTCTATTTGCTTTTAAAGTATTTTTCTACTTTTCACATTTGTAAAGAGACACCTTCACTTCAATATAGCAATGTTAAAAAAAGAACATGACAGCAAGGAAAAAAACATCCAGATTGTTTGCACAACCTGAAAGAACCTGTACAACCTGTACATCCTGGGAATCCCTGAGATTTGCTCAATTGGTTAGAACATGGTGCTAGTAACACTAAGGTTGTGGGCTCAATCCACATATAGGCCATTTACTTAAGAGTTGGACTCAGTGACCTTTGTGGATACCTTCCAACTCAGAATATTCTGTGAATCTGTATACCATAAACTCCAGGGCCTTTAAGCTGTTTTGGTGATTACTGGAGGCAGAGGGTGCTCCTGGAGCCTGCAGAAAAGCACCATTAGAGAGCATGGGGATCACCCAGGCAATACCCAGCCATAGTAGGCAGGGCAGCAGGAACTCCTGCTGGGTTTTTCCTCAGCCTTTGTGTGGCCTTCCCTGTTGGCTGCCTCTGATTTCCACTCTCTTGGAAAGTAAGGTTCACCTCTGAGTCACCACTTGTGGAAAAACAGACAGCTCCATCAAACACCCAAGGTGCTGCAAGAGGACAAGAGGAAATGGGAACACCCAAAGTGTGACAGTGCCACAAAGCAAAGACATGGGTTGGGTTTGCACCGTTCAGCATTGACCCTCAGGATGCTCTGGAAACCCTTTTCCTGTGGGCCTTTCCATTTTTCACATGGAAAATATGCACTCTTCCCAAACCTTGTCAGGATTGCCTGCTGCAAAATATCTGCCACTCACAACCTTGTGAATGTTCAAAAAACCAGTATCAGCAGTTATTTACAGGAATAATGAATCCATTTCATAAGCTCAGGCATTTGGCTGCTGTAGAAAAATGCCAGTTTGAAATACAGACTAAGAACCCATGGAAGAGAAGCTGTCACTTTGTCCTTGGCACAAGTCATCTCTACTTCCAGAACAAGTCAGTACAACACTTACTGGCCAGGCTCAGCTTTGTGGTGCCAAGCAGGTGAGAAGGGATCACAGGGGGACAGGTTCAGCTGGTTGCTCCCTCCCTGCAGGGCTGTGTGTGAGTTGAGTGTGATTCACCCAGTCCCTTGCCCACAGCACCTTCCCAGCCAGCGCTGCAAGGGACAGGGGCTGCAGTGACTGTCCAGCACAAGGTGACCTCACTGACATGTGAACCCACAGCCCTGCAGGCACCACAGGTCCGTGATGCCCACTGGGGCTGTGCTGTGCTCACTGACCCTCCTGCTGGGACTGCCATGCAGGACTGCCATACTGCTGCCCACACCGCCTCTTCCCTGAGTGGCAGCAGGTGGGGATCGATGGTGACCTCCAGCGAGATGTACCCTGCCCAAGCACAAAGGAGTGTGGGGCTGGGGTCCAGAACAGCCACTGTTTTCTTGTTGTGTCCTTCAGACATACATAGGGCCTCCCCTCTCTTGAGGCAGTGTGCCCTGCAGGGACAAGCCAAGGACTCCCGGGCTGTCTACCAAATCCAAGGCAAAGAGGCCAGAGTACCTGTGCAGCTCATTCCATACATTATGATACTTGTGAGACCCTGGTGCTGCTCAAATGGCTGTGGTGGCTACAAAACAAAAATGCATTTCACTGGTGTTCTGAAAGAAAGAAAATCAGATCTCCCTTGCTGTGCTGTCCTAAGTCTGTGGGACCACTCTGAATATGTTTGATCTTGTTCCTGTGGTTGCACATCAGCACAGACACTTCCCAAGCCATGTTAGTTAGAGCTGGAGGCTCAGCTGCAGGAGACAGCGGGCCTGGGGTGCCCCTCGTGACTTGCCAGAAACGTGCTGCTCTCTTGCCAGGAGCAAACATCGTCATCTCACAAATGGTTAACCTGCCGGGAGCTGCACAGCACTAATGACTTCACATTCATTTAATCAGCTTGGGCTTCCAGAGCGTCCACCTCAGGAGCGGAGAAGGCCGTGCACCCATGCTCCCAAAGCCGCACCCCTGCCTTACCAATCATTAATCACCCGGCCGAGAAGGAGCAAGCAGGAAAGGGCCGGGTCTCCTCGGCCCCCACGGGAGCAGCAGCAAGCAGCGCTGGCCGCTGCCCTGGGGTGCTCATTCTCCGACCACCCTCCCCTGGGAGGCCCTGTGGAGGTGGCCAGTCCTGCATGCACTGCCCTTTCCTTCAGGAAGGTCACTCAGTCCAGGAAACAAGAGGCTTTGCCTGGTCCTGGGAGCTGCTGGGCTACGTGTGAGGTGGGGGCTCTGAAACCCCAGGAGTTTCTGCCTGGCTGTACCGCAGCCTTCATCTCTTCGCCATGCAGCACAAGGCATTTTGGAATGCCCTGGAGTACACCTGCCGATTGCTGGGCATCTCTACCGCAGCAGGTAAGAGCAAATTCTCTCTGTTTTCGGCGCTAAAAGGCACCGAGTGGGTGCTAGTACCTCCAGACTGCCTCCCTGCCTTTGGCCAGCTGCAGCCACGGCCCCATCTTATGAGGGGGGGACAAGAAAACTTGCTCGCTTTTGCTTTGGGACCCAGGGTGGGAGAGCAGTGTTTGCCGGGCTAGGTTCTTTCCAAATGCTGTGGGAGGTACAGTGAGACATCAGAAGGGAAGGGCCAATATTCAGAGAGCAAGCTAAAGCACTCTAAAAGAAAAAAAAATAAGAAGAAAGCTAAACTATATTATTCTAAAACAGACATAGGCATAGGCAAAATGTGAATGAGACTAAAGAGCAAAATACTCATGGCTGTGCAAAACTGCTGGGCTACACAGTGGGATGTGAAGATGAAGGAGCGTGCACAGTGAGATGTCCTGCGCCAGGCAGGGTGGAGAGGTTCTGTCCCAGCCATCATAGCATAGTTTATAAAAGCTCTGCTCTGCCTCTCTAGCAGCCTGTCAGGGAGCAGCTCAGAGCAGTTCAGGTTATAGCTGCAGGACAAACACCATAAATTCATCCACCTGGTACCTGGGGAGTTGCATCCTCTCACCCGCTGCCAGGGTGTTCTGGGTTTGGTGACACACCCAAGTGCTTGGTTTCAGATGAAATGCAGGTGTTTTGAGCCAGGTGTCAGATACAGTGTCTGACTCGGGAGCAGGGAGCACCATTTCACAGGGAACATCTCCAGATAGGACTTGGGGAATCAGCTAAAGCAGAGGGCTCAGGGGTTGACTCTGGCACTGCGGCTGACTAGCTGCTATGGGACAGGACAGGCAGCACTCTCTTCCTCAGTTTCCCCATCAGAAAGCAGAGATCAAAGGGTCTGATTTGTTTAAAGGCTGGAGGGGTGAACCAGAGGTTCCTGTTGAGAGGTGACTTGAGGTGGTGCCTGTGGTTCCTGTTTCAGAACCCCAGGGATTTCAGAGTCAGACGCTGCAGAATAAGTCACAGCAGGCCCTCCTACCTTTGTATTTCCTTTATGAGCTGCAGACAGTCATGAAGAGGCATTTTGCTCAAACCAGGGACAAAGTAGAAAGCACACAGGTCAGCTGAAGTGTGCACAGGTTCCCAAGGACACAGGTGGGGTGATGGAGGTTCTGGAATGTGCTTTAAAGGACTGATACTGATAACAGGCAGAGAGATCTCTGAGTTTATACAAACTCCCAGTAGATAAGTGCATGTTGTGATGATACTGCAACACTGGGAGATGGGACAAAGCTTTAATCAGAAAATGCAAATCACTTCATTTTTTCATCCCCATCCCTTTAGGCCCTCATGAGCCTCATACTGGTCATATTCTCACTTAAAACTCCAAGGAAACACATAGAGACCTTCCTGGGAGAAAATGTGAGCTTCTTGCCATGAGAAAACTAATGCTAAACCAACAAAATTGAAAGTAGTTTACAATGTAGAAATGTGTTAGTGGAATATCATCTTTCTCTCCTGCATGTTTTCATCATTTTGCAGCATCTGCACATCTTTCTTTAATTTTTCTTTAAATAAGCACTGCAGTTATCTGTCTGCTTAGCATCACAGAGCATAGAGAGCTGCACTACAACTCACTGTGCTTTTCCATAGGTCTGGTGGATTCCCAGTATCACCTGACTTTCCCAAAAGGCCCGTGAACAGTGCAATGTGCCTGTGTTTTATTCCTTTGTGTATTTCAACGGAGTAAGAAATCAGCTTGATGCAGCATTTAGTGCCTGATGAGGTGTGTGAGGCTTTTGAATGAAATAGAAACCATGCAGAAGAAATTCCCACGGGTTTTGTTCGAAAAAAAAACCCTATGAAATGGAGAGTGCATCAGCCTCACTAATTGATTTTGAGAAGGCCTGGCCAGCTCCTTATGCTGCTAGTAAATACAAGTTACCCACATAATATAAACCTTCCCTTCCCCCAGATCTTGGGGTGTAATTGCTCTCTGCAATGGTGAGGCTACAGGACTTCCTTTGTATCAGAAAATGGCTAACTGGTCTTATAGCAAGTTAGCAAAGAGTTGTCAAACAGCCCTGTGATTTGCTGCAGTGTTTGCAGCATCTCTAGTTCAGTGATTCTAGGCCTTGTGATTTTTGCATCTAGGAAAAAGTTCCTACTTATTTCTTAATTCTCATGCTTTCAACCATTTAATTCCTAATCATGTGCCTTTAGCCACATGGTTTGGATAGGATCCAAATCAAGGCAGTGACTAGTCCAAACAAACACCTCGAAACAGCTTTTTTTTTTCTTGCATATTCTTCATCCAAACAGCTTTGTAGACAAAGCAGAAGCTGTGCAAAGGAAAAAGTCCCCCCATCCAGAGCAGAGGCTTGAGCTGACAGCCAAGCTGTAGCATTCTGCATTCATCCGCAGGGACTGAATGAATGAATGAATGAATGGGAATGAATGAAGTCCACATTGTATGAAAGATTATAAAGAATGGTCCTTAGTCACAAGACAGTAAAAGACAGTACTTTGCATGTAGGATTACACAGCTCTTGTGGCTTCACAGCCCTCTGATGAGACTGATTTGCCTGTGCTCTGCTCAGGGCTGTAAAAGCAGTGTGGAAGGGTGGCAGATGGGCCCTAAAAGTTCCCTTGGCTGACAGGGGCCAGCAGCTGCAGGAGACACAGGGAAAACACAGAGGGATTTCTTTCAGCCCAGATGGGAATCCCACCTTGGCATTGACCTAAGCTGCAGTCTCGATGGATACTCTATGTCCTTGTTTGGGAACCCATACCCTTCTCCAGATGGGGCAAACCACAGCTCCGAGAAATGGATCCAGCCTGCATCTCAAACTTTGGCCAGTGTGCATGGGACAGGACCAGTGGTGAACTTCCTGAGCACCAGTGGATGGGTGGGGTCTGCTCGCTGTGGGGTGGAGGCATCAGGTTCAGACAGGAGCTTGCCCAAGGCAGTGCTCTGGCTATGAAACCTGGGCTTCAGCACACTGCTGACATCTGTGCCCTGTGAATTGGCATGTACTGACCAACTTGCTGCAGCTGATGTGAGGCATTACTATTCTACTCCTTTTTAGAAATAACATTGAAGGAAACTGAAGGATGTTTAAGAAAATTTTCCATCCCCTGAAACTATTGGCCAATCCATCACAGATTTTAGCCGTGCTAATACTCTTAATCCCCCTAAAACTGACTCCCTGGTGTTCTGTATTAGCTGAGGCACTGAGAGAGCGTTCATTCCCTGTTTTTAATCTGCCTGCTCCCATTGTATGTTTTTCTGTTTGGCTAGCAAAGGCTCCTGATGCTATGGCTACAGCCCTTGGTGAAGGCAGCTGGCACAGTTCCCTGCAGCCACGTGTTGGGTGCAGCAGGACTGGGCAAGCAGGGAGGGCGAGGGAGTGGGGCTGGCAGGCACCGGGGGGACCTGGGCAGAGAAGGATGGGGCAGTGGGCCATGTGGCAGCTGAGATGTGGCAGTATGGCAGAGAGTGGAACAGTCACTGCTGCCCACCTCCCGCAGCTGTCCAAGGCCAGCTGATATTCCCAGAGCACCTTTACTCAGCCCACACAGTGGTAAGGCTGCTATAATAGGGGTGCAGCTGGGATGAGTTTCAGGGCTGTATGTCTCTGAGCTCTGACTCTTCTGGGTGGGTGTGTCAGCATGAATCACTGGTGTGATTGGCAGTCCTAACATGCTGCCCTGCATGGAAGAAACTGCCTTGCTAGCCCCTGGGGAAATGGGGACATTTATCCTGGGAAATGGGAATTAACCCAAGGGAACTGGGAATGAACCCTGCAGTCAGCGTCTTTCCTACCTTCTCTTTCTAGTGCTGATCGGTGTGGGCACAGAAACTCTGCAGCGAGGACAATTTAAAAGCCTGGCTTTCTATCTGCTGTGAGTATTTTTGCCCTTGAAATCAGAGCTGGCAGGGGTGACAAGGTCAACCCCTCCACTGTATGTGGCACCAGACTAGACTTCAACAGCGGCAGGGAACAGTGTCCAAGGCTTTGGATATTTCAGATCTCCATACTGAGTTTTCAAAAAATAAGCTATTTCTGTTAGGAAAAGAAATGATACTGCAGACTCAAGCAACACTGAGGCTGCAAGTTGATTTCCTAGGGGCAGAAGGGCTGTGAGTTTTCCACAAACCAGCTGAGCAGAGGGTGTTCAGACCCCAGCATACAGGCTGTGTTGAGAATTGGATAGTAAATTCTGGCCTGCTGTGCCCTTTCTGCCCACCTGCAGACCATACTCAAACACACTGCTCCCCTGATGGCTCCACCTTTCAGTTTTTCAGGGGTTGCAGTTACTGTCTGCGAAGGCTTCTTCTTTATCAGTTTGTTCCTGGAGATGTGCTTCACGTGAGTAGACCCTGCCCACTACTCTCCAGCCACGGTGGGACCTCCCAAAGGCACCTTGCCCCTTACAGGCAACACCAGATCTGGGGGAGCTGCAAGTGCCAGACCAAAGGTCCTGCCCCTAATGCCAAGGCAAGTGCACTCAGATGGGGGGAGGTGCACAGCTGTTTAAACCTGTGTTTTAACCCAGGCTTGTGCCCTAATTTCCTGAGTGTCAGCACAAGCCTGGTCTTCAGCATCTGCTTAGCACAGTGTGTAGGCACAAGGTACCAGGGTTAGAGGAAGAGACAGATCCCCAGGGTGAGATTCAGCTCCCTTCAGAGACAGCATGGAAGTTAAAGTTAAAATGTCGACAATCCTTATGTCCTTTTCAGAGGCTGAGCGCTGCTGCTGTGTTCTAGCAGAAACTCAGAAGTCCTCACAGCTTAGAGGCAACACCTTACTCCTAACAGTAGACACTTGATCAGTGAGGTGCTGAGACACTGGCCTCTGGCAAATGCTCTTCTCCCAAAAGGAGATGTTCAGGCTTTGCTTATCTTCCCTGAAAAGCACACCCATCTTCTGACAAACCAGTGAGGTGGTTTGTCTGCACATTTAGAAGGGTCATAGGACCAAATATTCTTGGCATAGGGTTGGTGCCTCCTGCTACAAGGACCTCTCTTTGTCTCCCCAGTCACAAGCCTGAATTCCTGGCACAGGCCTTCTGGAAGCGAGCTAGATGCCCAGGGAGCTTCCAGAAATTCCTGGGGTACACGCTGCTCTCAGTGGCTTGCTTCCTGCACCCCGTCCTCGTCTGGCATGTCACCATCCCTGGTGAGAAGCTTGGGTGGGGAGTAGTGCAGATGGAGCATGGTCTGTCAAGGGGTGGGGGTGGGTATGTGCAGGGAGCTGGGCTGGTGGCACTGGGCTAGCCAGACCAAGCGCTGCTTGGCAAGGCCTTCCCATTTGCCAGAGCCCTCAGCCAACATAGTCTTATCCCCAGGCTCCATGCTGGTGCTCACTGCCCTGGCCTACTTCCTGCTGAGCAAGAGGAGGAAGAGCCCAGGGCACAAAGACATGCATCCCCAGGCAGGTCAGTACGTGGACCCTTCAACCACCGAGGCAGCCCCAACCATCATTGGTGACACTGAGCAGACCTACACCTTCCACGGGGCCCAGAGGGAGCAGCACCGCTCGCTTCTGGGCCATATGAAGAGCATCCTGAAGGGCAGCAAGGACAGCAGCTCAGCCCCAGAAGCTCCTGTCCAACCAGCAGCCGTGCCAGCCCCTCGCAAGCAAGTGCACTTTCAGGAGAAGGTGGTGCAGATCATCCCCTCCGTCAGCGGGGACTTGGAGGATGTGGAGAGTGAGGCTGAGGAGACCACATCGGACACAACACCCATTCTCACCTCCCCTGATGCCCCCATCATCATCGCCCCTCTCAGCTCTGCCGGCCTCTTTTGAGCCCTCAGCAGGAATGAGGACAGGACAGACAAAGGCCCCAGGAGGTGGCCCTTTTTGCCTCCTGGCACAAAACTGGCATCCTTTTCGGGGTGACAACTGTGCCACTCCCTCTTCAAGGGTCTGCCTGCACTCCCTGGTCCCCTGCACTGTGGCAGGCCCAGGGGACGGTGCTGGTTCAGCCGGGGTAGTGCCAGCACAGGTTTCTGCTCCCACGGCCTCACCCGTGTCACCCGCGTTCAGCACTACACACAGCGTCGTGCTCCTCCTGACGCCACAGCCATGGAGCGTGCCTCCCTTCTGGCAGACACAGGCAGGAGGAGAGGAGACCTCCATGTCCCAGAGCAGCCTCTGCTGGGGCACTTGTGTCCCTCTGGCCCTCACTGCACACTCAGAGCTCAGGGCTGCATTCAGCACAGGCACTGCAGCCTGCAGGTTCCCTCTCAGCACTGCACCTGCTGCAGCAGCCTGAGACATGCACAACGTGTTTCTGAGGTGGGCTGAGACCAAACACACCCCTGGCATTAGCATCTGCTTAGTACCTCCCCAGGCACTCTGAGCCCAGCAGGGAAATCATCTCTGGCCTTCCGGACACCTAAGCAGGAGCAGAGACTTTCCAGGTGTCCCCTGCTTGGACAGCCCCCTTGAATTAGAAGAACTTTGGGGTGATATGGCAGCCTGGGTCTTGTGGTTCAGCACCACACTGGCACAGCAGACTGTGTGCAACTCCAATGTGTGTAATTATGGTCCCCAGAGGGCAAAGGCAATAATAAAATTACCAGACTGTTCCACCAGTTTCTTCCATGCCAGGTCTTCCCTGAACCCCTTAACTCTGGCTTAATCCTGGCATAATTTCTGCCTTTTGAGGACCATTCGGTCATAATCAAGCATTTCCCTCCTATGCAGCTCCCACCTGAGGACATGTGGGAAGACCTTAGGTGGCTGGGCTCCCTTGGACATGGGACAGGAAGCCACGCTGTCACTGCTGCTGGGATGAATAGCTATAAATGCTCTGAGACCAGGCACATAGTACTGGGGGGAAGTGATGGTAATTAGAGAAAGTTCCTGGGACCTGCTAGACTATTTATAAGGTAGAAGCCAGTTAGCTGACTGGTTTTTTTTGTAAATACATTGTTTCTTCTATTTAACATTTCAGCTCTCCAAAAGGCAATCACTGTGTTCATTTAGGAAAGCAGTGTAGGTCAAAGTTTAATCAGAATGCAATTGAGATAAGAAACCAGTGCTACTTTTTAATAAACTCTTTTTAAGTGACTTCTAATTTGTGATATGGATGAGGAAGAAGATTAAAGATATTGACTCACAATATATGACTGCCTGTTTTTAATAATGAAACTGTTGACAAGAGCAGTTTATGAAGGGTTACACACACTTGTCAGTCCTACAATGAGACACAGACAAAAGCCTTTTTGTTGCAAACCAACATTTAAAATAGTAGCTGGTGTCAATCTGCTCTAAATATAATACATGGATTAAAGACCTCCTGTTTCTGGCTGGAGAAATTAACCTTCTACCCTGTCATGGTGTGCTGGGGAAGAGTCATGTACACATGTGCCTTTAGGGTGGATTTACACCTGTAAAAATATCTTCAGAAAATTGTGCCCAGTTAACACTGCACAACTGATAGCAGTAAGCCCAAGATCCACCCACAGCTTCACCCTCCACCTGGTGAATTCATCACATTAGGAGACAAAAAATAAAGCTATTTTCCTCTAAAGCTGGTGGCAGACAAACCTGCACCAACCAAGGACCCAACCCAGCCATGCTAAGAGGGTGCCTACCCTGGCCTACTCTGCTCAGAAAGGCAGAACTGGCTCCCCAGCTTCACCACACATCTGCTCTGCAATTAAAGCCACTTTCATTAGCAGAGTCAGCTTTCTGCATCATCAAAGGTTCTTCTTTGAACATTGATAATTAATTGCACATAGAGATAAACTTAATTGAAAAGGCATTGCTCCCAATATATGGAGCAATCTGCTGACAAGAGAAAGACTGTATTGCTATAGACTTTTCTCCTTAGCAAAGCTCCTGGGCAGCCTGGGTGGGAACAGATGCTCTGCCACAGATTTCATTCTTCAGCCCTTACTCAATCAGCCAGCCCCATAATTTGTACCCGTGGGGCAGCACAAGGGGTGAAGCAATGTGCTGACAGCACCTGTGGCACTTGGAAGTTTTAGGGAGCGTATTTCTTTTTTCTGCGAAGTGTTTAAAATGTGTTTGCAGTTTTTAGAGTCTGCACAATTAGGTTTCCATTTTTAGGCTTATATTTTAAAATTCTGTTGTAGGTCTCCCTTCAGAACCAAGAATGAAGGAAGCTACAGGTGGGATGTTTTTTCAGGCTTCATGGAGTCAGCATTGGACCTCATTGCTTTTCTTGTATGCTCCCTTGTGTTGGCCTGGTTCTTCTCCATCCCCACAGTTAGTTGTCTCAGGAGATAAAGGCCAGGGGGAAAAAAAAGTCTTATCTTTCCTGTGGTATTAAATTGCCTGTTCGGTTAAGGTCCATGGCTGACTCACCCTGGAGTCTGCCAAGAGTTTGCATCCATGCTGGGGAAGTGGCTGCTCCTTCAGAGGCAGACAAGCTGCACCTCAAACAGCACCTGAGCTGCTTCCCAGGTTCTCCCTGCCAAGGAGTCCATTTGCACATTCCTTTCTCTGCTCCTCACCACCCATCTCACCCCTGGTGCCACCTTCCAGCTCCATCAGTGTACAGACCTGCTAGCCCAGAGGAAAATAATTAGGAAAAAGAAAGCAGGTGGCTATCTTCTTGGGTAATGAGCCAAATAAGTTCAGGGAGGGCCAACCACAAATTAAGGGGATGGGGGATAAAAGAATCTCTTTCAGAGTCAGCAGGCTGTTAGAGCAGCTCAACTGCTTAAAGAAACAAAGCCTCAGGCTTTCTTTAAAACCCAGTGCAGAGGAAATGTTCAGCCTCAGGGGGTGTCAGATGACTTTGCAGAGGCCTCAGAGATTATTCACTCAAGTGTGCACTTCTCTGCTGGCCCCACTCCCTACATCTAGCTGTGAGAGCCATCCCAGGGGCTACTGAAAGCACCGGAGCACCAGGGCTCTGGGGGGTCTGTGTGAGAAAAGCTCTCATGTATGCATGGTAATTGCAGGGAAAGAAGAAGAGGGAGAACTTGATGCTATTAACTTTGCAGTGCACAGTATCTGAATATGAGCTGCCTGAACTGTAAGTCCACACACCACTACATGAACTCTGCTATGTAATTTTTGCCTGCATTGCAAAAATTCGTTACTCGGCTGGTCCATTGAGATTAATCCACTGAGTTAGAGTGCATAAAGCTATAAACTCCTGTGGATTCACATACTGAAAGGAAATGAGATGAATCATCCAAAAGAAATACATGTGTAAGGTAAAACTCTGTGAGGTAATCCTGGCAGAAATTGTTTCCTTCAAAATTTCCACCAAATATCATCCTGCACCGGGAAAAATCTGCCAGCTTTACATGTGAAGTGGAAACACTCTACAGTGCTACTTGACAGCCCCCCCTCAAAACATAGTGAACTGGTATATTGCAAGCAGTTATTCCGTTTTATGTTTTCTATGCAGGAAAACCAGATTTTGGTGCAAGCTTCACTCACAATTCCTCTATTCTTCCAATGCTTAAGCAGTTGTTGCAAAGCCCTGGAGACAGGCACACTGCCTGCCCCACTACAGTGCTTGCACCTCACAGCAGGGATTCAAATGGTCACCCTCCTCATTCCCTAAATCCCCACTGGGACTCTGGTCCCCCATTTCTCCGAGCACCACTCCATATTTGAAACATGGAAATTAATGTTTTACTCAAACAACAGCAGTTTTAGGAAAATAAGGCACACTTGGAGAGAAAAGTGTTCAGTTTCTGCAGTGTCAGTAATTAAAACCAAAAATGCCCTGCTTGAGCCTGTAACTGCAACACTTTGCATCAGCAAACACCAGTATCAGCATCAGTGGCATTAGTGGCTTCTAATTCAGCATTGAGTCATATCCACATTCAGGAGAGGACCTGTCTCCACTTGATTCCAAATGCTGTATACTATACTAACACACCTGCAACCCTACCACTCTTCAGCCCTGCACCTTCTCCTGTCCCAGTCAGGAGATTCTCCCATGTGTTGGGACAGAAATGCAGTTTATGTTTTGGCTGGCCTCCGGCATTTTGTGCTGTGAGGGAAGTTACAGAAACCAAAACTAGATCCCAAACCTGCCTGGGACTGCTTGGAGCTGGCAGTTCCCTTGTCTGCTTGGCACGATGCAAAAGCAGGAATATGACTTCCAGCCACCATATATCAGCTGACATACCACTAGTGAAATGACTGCATAGGTTATATCCTAATTAATGTTTGAGGTACCTCTTGGATTCTAATTCTAGGCAATTATTCACTCAGCATGTGACTTTATTGAACCTTGTTTTGAGGCTCTAAGCAAACACCAAGAACCAGCCCAGGTCTTTGGCTCACAGACTAAAGAGGGAATCCATATATCAGACAGGAAAAAAAAGTAAATAAAAGGAGAGGGAAAAAAAAAAATAAAAAGGAAGAGTAATATTTATTGGGAGCTCCTCCTCATCACATCCTGGACTTCCTACAGCTCAGGAGGAAGGTGAATATCATCTCAACACTAATCCCTATCCCACTCCCATCTCTTCTTTCTGCCCAGCCACTTCTTCACCCCAAATGTTTCCCCTTCAGAGCACTATTTAAAAGGAAATACTGTCTTGATCAAGTCATGCTAAACAAAGTTACATGCACTGTGACATGATTGCACAGTTCCTTCCTGCCCCTTTCTCTCCAAAACCCCTCTGTAAGAGTAGCTGGTTTTGGTACTCACCAGATGCCCAACCTCACTCATCAGCCCCCAGGCTCCTGCTGGCACCCAGCTCCCCGACTGCCCCACGCTCCCTGGAGACACACACTTGCAGCTGCAAGCTGGACCAGGCTTTCAACACTGCAGAGGGGGCTCACACCTTCCAAACTCTGCCTAGAAAGTAAAAATGTTTTATTGTGCACAAAACTGAGGGGAAGAAGCTCTTCTACACTGGCTTCTCTCTAAGCCACGCTCAAGTAAAATTCCCTGGGAGAGTTTGGTATAATGGTAGGACTTTTGAATCTGATATAGTAGCACTCCATTTCTCCCTTTCAAGGTGGAGAGACTCTCTCTGGGCTGTTTATAACTTCTTTTACTTTTGTGCCTGTTGAGGAAACAGTCCTCAGCCCCTTTCTGGGTATATAACTTTGCAGCAATGTGTCAAGGAAGCTTGATCTGAGCAGCTCTTTGGGGGCTTGGATTTGAGAAGGAAATTTCACCCTTTAGCCTGCACCTTTCCCTCAAAAACCTGGGTCCAGGCAGGAAAGTGAACTCAATCTTATTAGTTATCTAATTAATCATTATTCCACCTCAGCATCTGTTTCTCATGCAAGCATCTGCAAGCTCAGAAGAAATCATCAGCTGCAGAAATGGAAATTCAGTGTCTTCTCCAGCAGAGACATGTTATGTGTTTCACATGGGGACTACATGTTCTGACAGTATAAAAAATATTACAATCTTACTGTCAACATATCTCATGAAGTGCCCTAAGAAGGAAATTGCAAACAAATTCTTGCTGACTGGTTTGGAAAAAGCTCTGGTTTTGTCATTACTTTTACTGGCTCTTATCCAGTACAAAAATACTGCATTTCTGCTATAATCATTTTATCAAGCTCATTGTTTTATGTTTTCTTCTTTCCAGCTAGTAATCACAGACACAAACATTTCCTTATTCGAGCTGATTCCTTCTAAATCAAAATTCCATGTCTTTTTGTTTTCCACTACCATAGCACTTTCAACCATGGAAAAGCTGGCACAAAGTGGCAAAATATTTTTTGGTTTATGTTCCACAGCTACAATTAAGAATGCCCCAAACCCATTAATTTCAGTGCTGCTCGTCCTGAAACCGTGCCACAAGTATGAATTACTCCATCAGTCCTGTGTATGTAGACAGGATACCATGACAGCTCATGTGAGATGAACTACCAGACAAGGTAAAGTAAAAAATACCACATGGAATTATATTGCCATGGAAATGCTATTGCAGCCACTGTGCTGGTTCTGCCCCAAAACAATGTCCTGTGTGCCATTCTGGACAGACTCTCTTCTTTCTTGTTACTTGCTTATAGCTGTGAAAACTCCTGTGTCACTTGTGAAATGCTCGTGCAGCCACTCTGACTGCACAGAACTGCCATGCACAAGCTGAGCTTCGTTA